ACCCCAACCGCTGCTGCACCAATACTGCGTTCTTCCTTTACAGTTTACACAGGCCTGCCTGCTCATGCCTGGGCCAATATTCCAACTTCCTGTGCTTCAAGAGGTGCTTTGCAACCTACAATACTTGCACTGTGAAACTCCACAGATCATTATCACCGCTTGCGTCCTCTGTCTAGAAATTATACTCTATATTGTTCCTCTTATCTTTCTGGAAAGTTTCAGTGATCTTCCACTTTTCTCAAGCGTGTTATTTAGACCAATGCAGGACCTAGAAAAAACCAGGAAAACTCAGCACTGAACCGTTTCATCAAACAAATGCCAGCACTCACTGTACGGCTAAAATGAGTGCCATTCTAAAGCTGCACTGTAGCAGGGAGTTAAAGCGCAGTTTTAAACCAAAACTTTGTCAAAAGATAAGTACACCTTACACATTTAACCAGTTGACATCCGGGGTGTTAAACCCCCTTCCCATCCAGGCCATTTTTCAGTATTCGGCGCTGTAAAATTCACGCCATACAACCGATCGGTGGCTATAGAGCCGCTGATCGGTTGTATGTGAAACACCCGTTAACGGCTGTAGTAACGAGCGGGTCTTTCCTGCCCGTGCGTGCGCACTAGGAGGCGCGCGCGAGCAGGAAAAAATGCGAGTCTGCCGTCCGTCCGTTTTTTCTTAACGGGCGGACGGCAAGAGGTTAAGGACCAATAACACATGCATCATTTGACCATCCAAAATGGTGAAGTGAAATAAATCAAGAAAATTACTTGTTTTAATAAAAATTATAAAAAAAATAAAAACCGGAAAAGTGGTGCAAGCATGTTTTCATCCTCTTTGCTATATAAGATCTGGTGCAACTAATTACCTTCAGAAGCCACATATATTGCACAAAGGTGGTCTTTATTTGGCTAATTAAGTGTCACATGAACTCTGTATGTATACAACTGTTCTGAAAGGCTCCAGAGTCTACAACACAATCGAGCAAGGAGCACCACCAACCAAGCAACATCATGAAGACCAAGGAGCTCTCCAAACAGGTCAGGGACAAAGTTTTGGAGAAGTACAGAGCAGGATTGGGTTATAAAAAATATCCAAAACTGTGAATATCCAACAGGGCACCATTAAATTCATTATTAAAAAATTTAAAGAATATGGCACCACAACTAGCCTGCCAAGAGAGGGCCACCCACCAAAACTCACGCACTAGGCAAGGATGGCATTAATCAGAGAGGCAACAAAGAGACCAAAGATAACCCTGAAGGAGCTGCAAAGCTCCACAGAGGAGATTGGAGTATCTGTCCATAGGACCACTTTAAGCCATATACTCCTCAGAGCTGGCCTTCACGGAAGAGTGGCCAATAAAAAAATAAGCAAGCATGTTTGCTGTTCACCAAAAGTATGTGGGAGACTGCCCAAACATATGGAAGGTCAGATGAGACTAAAATTAATTTTTTTGACCTTCAAGGAAAATGCTATGTCTGGCGAAAACCCAACACCTCTCATCACCCCAAGAACACTAACACTAAGAACAGTGAGGCATGGTAGTGACAGCATCATGCTGTGGGGATGTTTTTCACTGGCAAGGCCTGCAAAACAGGTCAGAATTGAAGAAATGATGGATGGTGCCAAATACAGGGAAATTCTTGAGGGAAATCTGTTTGTTTGGCAGAGATTTGAGATTAGGACAGAGGTTCACCTTCCAGCAAGACAACGACCCAGGGCATACTGCTAAAGCAACACCCAATTGTTGTAAGGGGAAACATTTAAATGTCTTGGAATTACCTAGTCAAAGCCCAGACAAATTTAGGAACTGTGGCATGACTTAAAGATGGCTGTACACCAGCAAAACCCTTCCAACTTGTAGGAGCTGGAGCAATTTTGCCTTGAAGAATGGGCAAAAATTCCAGTGGCTAGATGTGCCAAGCTTATAGAGAAGTACTCCAAAAGCCTTGCAACTGTAATTGCTGCAAAAGGTGGCTGTACAAAGTATTGACTTAGTTATGCACAGCCAATTTTCCCCGGTGGTTTTCGTCTTATTTCATGTTTGTGTCACAATAAAAAATATTTTGCATCTTCAAAGTGGTAGGCATGTTGTGTAAATCAAAATCATACAAACCCCAAAAATCCATTTTAATTTTGAGGGGGTAATGCAACAAAATAGGAAAAATGCCAATGGCTTTAATACCTTTGCAAGCCACTGTATTTATATACTCAATAAATAGTTTAAACATGGAACAGGAATGTTAACTATCATATTAAAAAACAACAGTAAATGCTACCTAGATTTGCTGCTCAGACTTGTAGAACGGTTAGACAAATATTTTGGCCATTCATGTATAGCGCAATATTTCAATTAGGGCTACAGATAACTATTATTTTCAAAATCGATTAAGTAGCCGATTATTAAGTTTGATTTTTTTTTAAATGGCTCCAGTGTTGGACAACTAGTTTGTATTGAGATTGTAGTCCATCATGGGAGGAAGCTTGGAGCGGTGGAAGTAAAAAAAAAAAAAAGTCTGGTGTGCAATATAGTGAAATGGAAAGTGTAAAATCAATGAAGAATTGCATATAGAGGACTACAAATTCCAGCAATAGTACATTATACAGAGACACAATGCAGAATACCACCAACTATGGAGGAATACATCAAATCCCTGCAATAGTACATTATACAGCACAATGCAGAATACCACCAGCTATAGAGGAATGCAACAAATCCCAGCAATACATTATACATGCAGTGTATAATGTATTGCTGGGATTTGTATTCCTCTATAGCTGATGGTACATTGCGCTGTATAATATAATATACAGCGCAATGTACCATCAGCTATAGAGGAATACAAATCCCACTATCCCAGCAATACAATAATACAAAGAATTGTGCCATGTGGGGGGAAAGTGCAGGCAGTCTTACCTAAACAGTCTCCCAGCAACTTTCTTCTGAGATCATGGGCCTGTCTGTCGGTGGCTGCCATGCGGGCGGGTGTGTCTGGCCGCGCGTGAGCGGGTCTGAGAATTGGGTGAGGCGGGGAGGAGATGTGGCGTGTGGCATGAGAAGCGGCGTGTGGAGCTGCGAGCAGGGCAACTAATCGAATGTCAATTAATCGATGATGGAAAAAGCTGACGTTTTCATCATCGATTATGATCGACTTGGGTCGATTAGTTGTTGTAGCCCTAATTTCAATGAATCTATATTTTAGGGACGTCTTGTTTGGATGTCCTGCTTCAGATCACATCACTGCATTTCAATAGTTTGGAGGTCAACACTTTAACTTTTAACATGTGGCATTTATTCTCTCGTAAAGAGATTGAGAGAAAAGTTATACAAGGTGGAATTAACCCCTTCGTGACGGGAGACGTACACTGTACGTCCCGTCACAAAGTGCCTATATGACTGGCCACGTACACTGTACGCGACGAGTTATATCAGGCTTTGTAATGCCGGTAACCGCTGATTCTCAGCGTTACCAGTCATTAATGAATGCCTCAGTGTTGAGGCATTCATTAATGAAATAATTAAGCTTTTTGTAAAAGCTTCTTCCTTTCATTCATGAAAGAATGAAGCCGTTACATGCAAATACGGGATCGCTATTAGCAATCCCGTATTAGACAGCTGAAAATAGCAGAGAGGTAGCAGTGACTCACCTCTCTGCTATTTGTTTTGACAGCTCAATAGCCCGATGTTTAGATACAATGTATCTCTTTTGAGTGAAATGTATCAGTTCTGACCATCTAGGCACGATCAAAGAGCTTTTAGTGAGATCTGAATCTGACTAAAGTCAGGATCAGTCTCTAAGGTTATTATTAGCTGTTCCTAAGTTTGGAGCAGCCTAATAGAAAAAAAAAGAAAAAAGTTAATTTATCAAGCAGTCATAGTGACTGCTTGATATAAACTGACAAAAAAAGTGTTTTTATTTTTATTTTTTTAAAGTGTAAAAAATAAAAATAAAGTGTAAAACAAAATTAGGAAAATAAAAATTATATATAAATATATTTTGTATACTATAATTAATATTAAAAAAAATCTAAAAAAAAATAATAATAATCAAAACTTGTGAAAAAAGTGTTTTCTTCTAGTTTTTTTCCTCATTTTTTTTTTTTTATTCAAACTAAGTGAGGGGCTAGGTACACATATGTGATATAATTATATAGCCCTATCTGTCCTCTA